TATTTGGATCCATTGTGCTCATGTATTCTAATTGTTTCGTATTTTTGTTGCGAATAGTGATGTATGATTCCGGAATTTCACCATCTGCAGTGGTAGAAAAAATTGCTGCTACTTCATTTGATCTTTGAAAATTGTAACGGCGTTTATCGAGGCCTTTCTTCAGAGAGAACAATAATTGCAATTCTGGCTCTTGACCATTGTTTTGCATCTTCATTGCCTCGAGCTCTTCCTTCATCATATAATATGATCGTGCGAAGGCATTATTCTGACGTAATACATCATCAATCGCTTGAATAATTTCTTTATTCAAATGGGAATCAGAATTCATCCTCAATTCAGTTGCTTCATTTGGATCAACGATAAAGAGCTGGCCATAGCTGGGCAAATCACCAACAGCTGGATATAATGCTGTATTGAATTGATAATAAATTTGCCCTTGTATCTTAAAACAATAAGGACCAGGCCGTCTATTATTGAACTGAACTAAATTAGCATTGAATGATGCAAATGAAAATGAGTTATTATATCGACGGATGTTTTGGAAGAAATGAGTTGTTTTTTCATGTGTCCCATGGAATAATTCTTTCAAAATGTTTGGTGGCTCTGGCATGGGTTCAAGTTTCACTTTTCCATGGCTACAACAATCACTAAAAGTAGTTTTTCCCGCTACTTGTTCTCCTCGGAAGTGTCGTGCACTACAGCTTGTACACAGTACATCCATAGGATCCAGATAGTGTTCGGGAACATCAGTCATGTCCATTGTCGCATCATCATTACGAATAATTTCATGAACATATCGATTTCTACGTTTGGAATTTAAAGATTCATGTCTTTGTGAACCATCGTTATTAACTGTATGAGAATATCGAATCTTACGTTGTTTAGTTTGCACTTCACTTTGCAAGTTCGATGGCAAATCAGAGACACTGTGAATATATCGAAATTGACTATCCATTTTTTGTTGTTTATTCTTTTCTGTCAAGGGAATTGATTGTGAATTTTCCAATGGAATGGTATTCGAAGATGAACTTTCATTTTGATGTTTTTGATCGAAGGGAGCAATTTTGATTGTTGTTCTTCGCTTCCGGGTGTTTGCAAAGGAGATTTTGTGTTCGATATTTGGCAGAGTATATCGTGAATTAACTAATAGATTATGAGATTCGACTACTGAATGATTTTGCGCACTGGTAGATGGAGAAAAAACTAATTGATCACGATTCCCGAGTACTTGGGACGAAGACCATTTTATCCTGTCTTGTTGTTGACAATTCATTTCTGATTGTCCAATCTTTCCTGTCAAAGGAATTGATTGTGAATATTCCAATGGAATGGTTTTGGAAGATGAACTTTCATTTTGATGTTGTTGAGCGAGGGGAGTAATTTTGATCGTTGTTCTTCGTTTCCGGGTGTTTGCAAGGGAGACTTTGCCTTCGATGTTTGGCAGAGTATATTGTGAATTACCCAATAGATGTTGGGATTCGATTATTGAATGATTTCGCGCAATGGTGGATGGAGGAAGAATTAATTGATCACGATTTCCGAATACTTGGGACGAAAAACATTTTATTCTGTCTCGTTGTTGACAATTAATTTCGGATTGTCCAATCTTCTCTGTCAAAGGAATTGATTGTGAATGTCCCAATGGAATGGTAATGGAAGATGAACTTTCATTTTGATGTTGTTGAGCGAAAGGAGCAATTTTAATTGTTGTTCTCCGTTTCCGGCTGTTTGCAAGGGAGACTTTACATTCGATATTTGACAGAGTATATTTTGATTTAACCAATAGACTATGAGAACCGATTGAATGATTTTGCACACTGGTAGATGGAGGAAGAATTAATTGACCATGTTTCCTGAATACTTGAGAAGAAGAACATATTATGCTGTCTTGTAGGTCAGTTTGTGTATCTAAATCCTGTTGACGACATAAGAAATGATTTGAAATTTGAGTTGGCTTCGGAATAAAGTTTGGAGATGACTTTGAAAACTGCATAGTACGCTTAATTCGAGAAATTGATTCCGAATTTTTGCAATCTGTTGATGATAATATCGGTTTGGTAGGAATGTATTGATCACTTCTAGCATCGTCGTGTTTCGCAGTGATTTCAGAAGTGAAACGAGTAGAGTGCGATTCGAATTGCAGTAAACTCTCATTCGAATTCACAGAATTGTAGCTGGTTTGTTCAACAAAATTCTGAGAAGGATTCGGATACATATCTGCAGATGCAATGTTAGGTATAATTCTATCTTTGTGTCTTTTATTCGGCTTCGATGATGTATTCAACGCTCGTTTCGACATCTTGAATGGGTAAAAATCTTCCTTCGATCGGCAAGTATTTGCTAAAACGTACGCAGTAAACAATTATGCTATGGTAATTGAAGGATATTCAATGATGAATTAATTTATTTTGCAAATTTACTCTTTATTATGATGAGATTAAAAATGTCTAAATGAAGATTTATAAATTTTTCGATTTCCATACAAATTTTCCTTCTGAACTTGTGAAAAAAAAAAAAAACTTATGATTGACGTTTAGTGTCTTATTTCTATTATTTCTTTTTTCTATAAGTCTTTAGTCTCGCATTCACTGTGCGTCTAAATATTCTGATATCTGTGAAGTCTGAACAACATTTATGATCTCAAATCTTTAAAGTCTGAAATATCTTTATTGTCTGATAAAGTCTTTTTATTTCTACAATTTCTGATTTTTCTCCTTGTTGGATTGTTGACACACGAGTTCGCAAATGTTCCACCTCAATCGACCTGAAATGAAGATGGTTGTCAATTACAACATTAGGAAAATACTAACGAATGATTTTGTAAATCATCAATGATAATATTTTCTAATTACCTCTTGTTTCGTATTTTTTATCTCCTCAAGATAATCCTTCCTTCGCGTAAATTCCTCGTGCCTCGTGCCTCAGTGATGTTGAATTCGTTATGATGAAAATCTGCAAATTTATCATCAGTGAGTGAATTTACCAATTTGTGAGATTACATTCACAGTAAATGTGTAATAATCATTCAATTATGGAGGACACATACAATACGCAAGCACATGTGGATATTCTGTAATCAAAGAATTCTCAAACACAGTCGAGTCGTAACTCTCAATTTAATTTTAGAATGACAATGTCATCCTAAAGTTGCGAGAATGAAGAAACATTTGGAAAGATTGTTATTTCATTATGATGGAAAGTCGTGTCGGTTAGTTGTAATATAACGTATCAGAATCTAACATTATTCAATGAAAAGTTATACGTCTGTTGTTTTCAAAAATTATTCGTATGAATATTATCGACGTTTGCTTTATATTTTTTGTTCTACCTACCTCAATTCGATCAATGCAGAATCGTGCAGCTTAAATAATGCCAGACCAGCAACTTGCCGATGTATCGCTGTTTGGAGGTTAATGATGAGTTCAGCATCTTGAATAGCGCCAGGATTTCGTACTTCTTCGCCAACGTTCGGTAAATCATGGCGGGCACTTCGAAAATTTTGAACAGTTTTGTACACAATGATCACTACTCGACCATTTATGTTCACAAAATTAGTAGAATGTGAAGTCCCGGGTACCAGGCTGGTTTATAATAACATCGAAACACAAACGATACAACGGTACATCATGTTGTACCTTTTATTAACTCCCTAATCTGTTGCGTAGGTATTGAAATGATTCCGAAATTCAATAGTCGAATTTTCATGATTTCACTTTTCTTCAAGTTGGATCATTTGAAACATTTTTAGAAGACATGACGATTACTCTTTCACAAATGATGCAATTGGATTTTTGTTATAATCCGTGCGTATTTATGTAACTGAGAACTGAGTAGTTTGTAAAAACGATTGTCTCAGCGGTTTTTCAGTCATTCTTCAAAAATATGTGAAAAAACGTCGGAAATTCAGTTTTTTTTTGTCAAATTTGATTATTTTTAGTTTTGCTGTAGTGCCAAAATCTAGGTAAATTGTTCAAAATACAAATAAAGAG